TCCTTAATACCGTGGCTCCGCCAGCTGGTATCGCGAACCTAAAACTCGTGTATCAAACTTGTTCTTAGAACGCGCTCGCGCGAGGGGACGGCGTTTGAGATGTGAAAGTCTATCTAAATATGTACGCATTGCTGGCACCCAGTGCCACCATTAGAAAATGTTCCGAATCCGCAACAGTTTTCCTTTAAGGTTCTCCAGGTAGGATAGAGTGGGAAGTGAAAATTGTATTATCTCAGTTTCTCAGAAAATGTGACTCAGTCCTCACTCTGAACAACAGATCGCATTGTTGCCTTTCAAACTCATTTCCTGAAGATTTCGCCATACGTGCATAATGCTTGGGGAATCTCGGTATATGGTGAACCAGGATGAAATGAAATGCTAATCCACCACTACTGCTTAGTCATCATGTCGTTTTGAAATCACATCCCTAGAAAGAAAGCTTCGGAAAAGGCGGATTCAGAGTGCATCTCCAGGAGATGGATTACATGTAAGCAACCAGATTAACTTGTCAATGTCACGCTATGCACTCTTCCCTGCTTCGAATCCCTGAGATTTTAATATGGCAAGCAATGAGAGGCAAAACGAGTAGCCAGAGCCAAGTTTAAAGCAAGCCTACCCCAAACAGAGGAGAGCGAATGCGTCGCGCCGAAGGATTGTCTATGCCTCGGCAATAAGGTTGTTCAGAAGACCGGAATTAAAGGTCTCGTCAGACCAAGGAGCGTAAAAAAAGAAGCTAGCAATGTTAGAAAGCTCCAAAGCATTTACTGAAATTTAGCACAACTTCTTGCATTATTTCCTCCACAAACAGTAACTGTCATTCTGTCGCAATAGATACAGTGGAAGCGTGGGTCGTCGGACATCAGCCGGATGGAGTGGTGGTGGGGGGGGGAGCTTAGGGAAGGTCGAAGGGCTGCAATTGCCAGACACGTGGCTTGCCATACTAAACGCTAAAACGAATGGAGCTCCGGTAAGTAGAAGTCGGCGCCGTTTCCGACACACGTGCTTGCTAGGACCCGAAAAACCGAGATACGATTTGCCCAAGGCAACCAGGACGTCACCTAAAATAGAAGAGGGGGAGGACGTCACTGCGTAGCGTATGCCACCAGCGGGTGAAACATGACCAATGTGGCCCAATAGTTTCCTCATTTGATCCCACACCATACGAAGCCGAAAATCGATTCAATAATCACCGCTAATTCCAACTGCAAGCCAGAGATTGCGGTCTCCGAAAGTCCCGGATGCGATCAGTTTGATGACTCTAGCCCTTTTTCGATTTATAGAATAGAGACATAAAGAGCGAATTCCGAGCGTTCAGGGCGCGTCCAGATAGCCTGGTGAGTCGTGTTCTGCAGCGTCAGAACTCGAGAAAATTCGATGAGAAATAACCATAACAACCTCGGGGGTCCGAGTCTAGCCGACAAAGTGCGTTCGCCGAAAGAAAGCTCTGAACTTGCATAATTTTTTGACCACGATATAACCCAAAACCTAACTTTCAGTAACCCCCACGATGCCGTGCAGTGTCGCTTCACAGCAAACACAATATGAGGACCCAGTGAGGACCGGGAAAAAATCAGTCCAACAGTGTGAACATTAGACCATACTTTTCGGGTACCATTCCGTGGGCTCATTAGCGCCGCAGCGCCTTCTTTCGGACTGATTCTGGATCGAATCCCGCAGAAACCTATTCTTGTGGGGTGCTTAACAACAAGTGACTACTATTGCGTGATCTAACTGGTCATTGTGTGGGCTCAATGCATTTGAATGTGATCGTTGTACGATCATGTACAGAAGACGAATGCATGGCGTATCCTATAGGTGATAAATGGCACTGGTGACATAAACTCTGTTCCTTAATATCACCAATTCAGGCCATAAAATTAAGCATACGCTCCCAGCCACCCTGACAGAATCTTCCTCAAGACTACGGCTCAGTGCATCTAGTGGCTAGAATCCAACCTGAGTGAAGCTGAAACTTGTCAAGATGGACGTATCAGATTACATGGCACTCAGGAAGCATCGCCTGTGCGCCCGCATCCTGAAAAATTGACATTTGACCACGGAACGACTCCGGTTACGGCGGCGGGGGTAGTTTTTCGCTTCCACGACGGCCTCTCTCGCTGCGACGCTGGCCACGCCTCGCCCCACTTTCAACCCACTGCGCCGCATACAACCCCCGCACCCATCTCACGAATCGATGGAACGGGGGTCAATCCGACGGGCTCGCCATATGTTTCGGTTTTTCTTTTTTGTTTCCTTCTTCCTTTATTTTTTTTCCAGTCCTACACCAGGTACGACATCTCTCAATACAGTAGTAGCCCGGTGGTACTAAGTAGCAGCCTGAATTTATTATATGGTAAACTTATGCAAAGTGCCACAAGGTCACCTGGTCACGTTGTCTTGATCTTCGACGGAATTTGCGTATACAGTAGCTGTAGAATACCATATGAAACACCAATGGACGCAGAGAAAATTACCTTTTGATTTCATTGGGAGCGTGATCTGGGATGTTCTAAGATAGACATCAACCACGTTGGCGCAACTTCTCCTATGTCCCGCAGATTTCCTCCCTACGGTTCTTAAAAGCGTCGTAGGAGAGGGATGTGGTGCTGATCCCCCGGAATAAGCATCAACTAATGCTGAGGCAAACACTAGCTGCTTCCAGCAACCCGAGATTAGCTGTATAACCCATATATGTGGGAAAAATTGTGGGGCTATAAAAAATGCATTCTTATGACCAAAGTACCAAGCACCCCTATAGATGGAGCCACAGTAGAACTTTTCTGCTCCACATTTCGTTTCATCAATCTAGTCTTTTTCTTATTGGGGTGTTTTTCACCAAAACTAGTGTCCGTAAGCGCACACAGTATGGTGTATGAGAGAGATGTCGGCGACCGTTAAAGGTGCAACACGGTTCGTCGTCTGAGCCCGGAATTCCTCAATGGCGCAATAGCACGACTTTACAGAAGGTATGGGCGGCGCAAGCTTTTTTGCACCTTGGACATTTTCACAAATGTGAACTGAGCGCAATACATACAGACATCAGAAAAATAAACTGTGTGGCATACGATGTAATGTCAACAGGACCAAATCCCACACTGTTTGGTTTGAGATGAGCAAGGAAAACAAAACGCGCCATGCTTTCGGAATTTGCCCCTATTTGCAGAGTCGATTGAGTGCGATAGGCTCTGTGCAGTGACTTCCCATAGCCGAAAAATGCGAATCAATACATAGTTTAGGATTTTCCAGATCTCTTGTTAGCTTTGAAGTGATTCATGAATATCGAGCGAAAAGTTGTTTTCAAGGCATCAATATTGATTTTTTGAGAGAAAGATATTGAATTTTAAGTGCGTTTCTAGTCATGATGTGACTTGGAGACCAGCTACGTCCTCGAATTTCCTCCATCCTTCAATAAAACTGGTAGAGCTGTGTGTCCATGATAAATCTGACGCCTTCACGATTTTTAGGCGCTATGGCAGGATACGAGGGCATTGTGGCGGCAGTGCATTAGGAATTGCGTAAAACATGTCCTTCTTGTTGTTCTTATTACTAAACCGGACTAAGCTTTAAGCTCCAAGATGGGAGAGGAGAAGAAACTTTACGACGCGTCAGCCATTTTCATTCCCCTCAGAGTTCCTGCTCCCTCCTGAGCTTGTCTTAGAGGATGCCCCGTATATTGCGATAGCGCCGATTTTTGTTACGATGATGTGAACCTTGGCGATGTTCTGCTGTGCTCTTTTCATGATACGTAGCGTAGTAATGGCAGTACTTTTGTAAGATTCTGCGCTATGATTCAGTCCGCTGAAAGAAGTACTCAAATGGCCATCGATCAAATTTTTCCTGCTGTGAAGGTCGATAATTTTCCAACACATGGCGAAATTTCGCGAAGTGAGCAGTTGGCCCTTCACGGGTATTCCCCTGATCAATATTCCCGGGTTCCAACTGATGTCACCCTTGTTCTGAGCCGAGGCAATTTATAAGTACATGCATGTTCTTGACATGCGCTAATCTTCTCCTTCATAAACTGTTCTGTTGATTGGCTGATAAAACCCTGTATAAAAATAAGACGTTTTAATGAACCTTCAATCAGCGCAAGGTGAGGGCAAAGTGTAACGTGCTCGGTTTCGATCAATCCCTCTCGGGATGCGCTCGTGTTTTTTGTACCATGCAGGAACCCTCTTGCATTTGAATGCATATTTGCCTATGCAAGGATTTCGGGGACGGCGGAGTATACCTTTTTGGCCTTTCATTCATGGAATAAAGCATATCTGAGGAGCGGGAAAGCTGGTTGGCTCGCCATATTTGATCTATGGAGTATGCGTGTGATAATGACACAGCTGTTACCCTACGTGCTTCTATTTAAAGCGACACTCTCAGCAGAAGTTGTGAATGAGGATCTATTCATCAGGGATAGGGTAGTCCACGAGTAGCGCAAATGTCGCGGCTCCAAAGTGTGCGACAAGCGCTACTATTCTTACATAGTCAGTCATTAGGCGACTCCATCTAACATTTGGACGAGCTCTGTCGCGACACGCCATGAAACGCAACGTGGATTACGGCGTGGCGTTTACACGCGCGCGTTGGTTGAGCCGTGGAGCAAGGTTCAGACAACTCGTCTGGTCCCGCCCCTTCCTTTTGCGTAGGGGGTTAGGGAGCTTTTGTTTTAGGATTCATCGACGGATTTCTTTGCTTCTTTTTTCATTTCTAGTCAACTCAACATCCGCACTTCACCAATCAACCACAAATTCGATCTGGGGGTGGTGCTTTTGGAGGAAGTTATGTTGTTAACAATAAAGTTTGATATGTCAGCAGCAAAAACTATCTTTCTACGGAAAGTGCTCACCGCAGCAAATGCGATGATCTCGTCAGCATTTAGCGGCAATTCCCCGCTCGTAACGATAGCAATGGAATGCTGACGTTTTACATGCCTTTTATGGCCCTTTACAGTCCAAGCTGTCGTGCGATTTTGGAATTGATCGTTGTACACCTTTATCGATTTTCAGATCATTACCATGCATTGGCACGATGTCTGGAATTGGCGTGGCGTGCCGGTCATGTTGACCAGGCAGACAAATACCTGAGAAAAGCTATCGAAAACAACCCAAGGGCGTCTGTCGACGCTGGCTATAGCTACTGCAAAGGATTGCATGAATGGTGAGTGAGTTGAACATTTTTAAACCCAAAAAAGACTGAACGAGTAAAGGGGCACCTAGAAATGGGTGCTAACTTAGTTGGGGGGGGGGGGGCACGCGGCGGCGCGGCAGTCTGCTCGCCTGGCATGTTCGGAAATCCGTGGGCCAGGGGGAGTGTAGGCCAGTCTAGGGGGTGGGGGGTGGGGCAGTCACTTGACATGCGTGAAAAGCTGGAATGTTCGAGTTTACACTGTCTCGCTCGAGAGAGCCCAGGTGAGCAGACTGCCGCGCCGCCGCGTGCCCCCCCCCCAACTAAGTTAGCACCGAATGTTGTCTTGAATGTGCTTATGTGCATAAGAACAGGGTTATCGACTGTCTCTGCGTCTCTCACCATATGCATGAGATGATGATTACATACCTACCTTTCAAAAAACGAGAGAAGAGCGTCGGGTGCAGACCATACACCACAAGTGACGACGGCCTCCAAGTAAATCAGTAGTCATAGTGATAGCTGATTTTTGGTAAATGATAGTTGTAATTAGTGACAACTGATAGAATACAACTGCAACAGGCTAATCATTTCATTGGCAGAAAACATTTACATTTGTGGAGGCCGTCGTCACTTGTGGTGTATGGTCTGCACCCGACGCTCTTCTCTCATTTTTCGAAAAGGGAGTATACCTATCCCACGATTACTTTCAGTGAAGCAATCCTTCCGTGATGAAGTAGCCGGTAGCCAAAAGGCGCTACTTTCGTGGCTCGAAACGGTCTGCAGGTGCTCAAGTGCTGACGAATTGCCGCATTACACACCCTGCCTATCTCGCTCGCCCCGTCGAAACGCGTTGATTTCTGCGTCTCGCACTTCCGCCATGCTCTCTCGTTCCCGAAATTGTTCTTTGGCCCCGGCACGCATTGCTTCTCAGACTGCCTCGTAGGCTCATCTGTGCTCAAAGAAGGAAGTTAATTCCAGTGCTTCCCGCGCTTTCTTTTTCTTTTTTATTTAGTAGCGGCTCAATTCGTGCATCGTTTTTCTTTTCCCGAGCGCAATAATCACTCCCGGCCGGTCGTAATGTGCCTGTAACCATTGGTGGTGAGCATTCCATTTCTGCCTCAGTTTTGAGCGCATAATGACAGTGAAGGTCTATGGAGTCTTCTAGCGAGGTGGGTACTTTTTTGGTTAACGCGACATTTGGTCACACAAGCGCGTCACCGAGCACAATGAGTCAACGGCCACAGGCTGCAAAGTACTTTTCCTCCTACGTCTCTTCGCTGCGGGGTGAGCCTTTTGACCAGCTCCGTGTTTGAGTTGAGTGCAGCGTTTTTCAGAACACACCCATAAGGGCCAATTTTTGACCACACAAATTCAACGTATGCTGCACAAAGCGGAGAAACGCTGTCGTTATGCCTCTTTCCGATGGTCATCCCAGACAGCCGCTTCATAATCATGTTACCCCTTCTTCAAGGAATACCAATCCGCGGCGCTTACCGTGAAATGCGGGTGTTTGTGCGTCTACTCCGGCTAAAAATCGAGCTAACGTAGTACCCCGTCCAGGTTTTTTCGAGCTCGCTAGTGGTAAAATATAGGCCAGATGTGTTTGATCTCTTTCTTATGGAGCTTCCATAGTTGGCGATCGTACATGCGATAAAGCGATAAGGCGATAAGGCGATGATCAGAAAGAAATATATACGTGTCCATTATGCGATTAGGCGATAAGGAAACGATACGTATTGATTTGTTGCTCCGCCCATTGAGCCCGCCTAGCCGCCAAGTCGCCTAATCGCCTACAACGCCTCTGCGTTTCTCTCAATGTTTTTCGCTTCATAGGAGTCTAATGAAAGGAAAAACCCTTAATGAGGAAGGAAAAACTCGAAAGAAAGTAAACAGAAAGTAAGACATAACAGACAAAAGAACTGATCTTGCTCCAGTGGACGTGGCTACACTTTCGAGCAAAAAATGTCTCAGTTTTCGAGAGAATTTCTTTCAAACAAGGTTTCTTTAATTCTCCATTGAAGAATGACCTCGGAAATTCTTCAACACATCCCAAACAATATCCATTGAAAGTTTAATTTTGAAAGAAGACTGGAATTCCGGGCACTGTTCGATGAAATTGAAATGTTTCCCCAAAATGCGAAGTTTAAATTGACCAAAAAGCAATGATGAACATCCAGAGCTCTTCGCTGTTCCATAACTACAGGATTCCAGAAAAGATTGTTAACCGTATTGGAGCTTTGACTCAATTTTTGCGCGATATGACTGTTTGACGATTCCTGGTCTTTCTTTTGCTACTGTTTACCTTTTCGGAACTAAACTGCCTTTTTTATCTTGTGGGAACATTAAGGTAAAGGCCTGATAACTGCGAATCAGTTTCATGAAGCAAGAATGAATTTCAACGAAGAAATACAGTGAGTTCTCCCACTTGACTTTCGTACAAATTTGCGATTGTATGCCTCGTGTCTCGTGCCTTGTGTCTTCATATCTCTGGCTAAATCTCCCATCCCTTGCGGCCATAGGAGGAGTTGGCGGACCTACTAAGTCCATCCAGGAGAGTTGGCGGACGCTACTAAGCTGGTATCCGGAGCCGTCCTGCGCCCGCGGCTTGCAATGTTGGCCGGCCATTGCCCTTCGCCTCCTTTTTTAAGGCCATCACCCCCTCCCCCTTTTTTATATTGTATTTTCTTATCCTGATTATCCTATTATTATTTGTTCCTGTCTAAATTTGCTGTCATATGCCTATTGTAAGCTAGCTTTTATTCACGTATTGATTTGTTTTACCAACATTGTACAATAGCTATAAAATAAAATAATAAATTACGGTGGCTGTATCATTTTTGAACATAGGAAAATCGACCTCTTCTGAAAAAATTAGCACAAAATTTTTTGGCGTTTCAACATGGATTTTCGTAGTGATGTCTGAACTCGCCATGAAATTTGTCACATTTTCTATCTGGACAGTTTTTCAGAAACTCTATGAACTTTAAGTTTTCGAACAAATTTTAGTCGGGTTAAAATAATTGCTCAGGTAATAACTTCGTATAGCATACATTATACGAAGTTATACCGAATGCCGCTCTACAGGCGTTCAATCGCGCCCGACGAGATTTGGAATGGGGCGAACGTGCTCTTTACAATATGATCGAAATCGTACTAAATCCGGACAACGAGATAATTGGTGGTGAAGTGCTCGACCATGCCCGATGACAGGTATTGTCATACAATTATACATCGAGTTTCCTTTTCTTTTATTTTTTTTCTGTTGAAGCATTTCTTTTAAACTTGTGTGATAGCGTGTTATAGAAATGCTATTCAGAACTTTCTTGGTAATGCCATTTAATAGCCCGTAAAGTATATCCAACATATTTCCTGAAGTATTTCACATCGCTTAAGAACTAGGATCTTGTTCTCATTTCAGTTAGAACCTTGGCAGTTAATCTTGACGGATTTTCGTGTTTCCGAAGAAACTGTTCAGAAAAATCGAAAAAAAATTCGGTGCTAACTTAGTTGGGGGGGGGGGGCACGCGGCGGCGCGGCAGTCTGCTCACCTGGGCTCTCTCGAGCGAGACAGTGTAAACTCGAACATTCCAGCTTTTCACGCATGTCAAGTGACTGCCCCCACCCCCCACCCCCTAGACTGGCTACACTCCCCCTGGCCCACGGATTTCCGAACATGCCAGGCGAGCAGACTGCCGCGCCGCCGCGTGCCTATGCAAATTAAGTAGGCATCAAAAGTTCCTTTGAGAACACGAGTTGGAATGTGAATATTATGAATCCAAAAATTCTAATTTACATTTTGTTCGAAAATTGTGGTGGGCCGCTCCAACTCCATGAAATTCATCAGCAAAGCAGTGGTGATTACGAGCCTGGTACGACCTTACCCTTGTTTACTCTTACTTTTTGTGGACCCTGTTCTTTAATCGGTAATTCGTCATTGGCTTGAACCCCTTTAAAGAGTTTTTTTGGATCGTCCTCGACCTCCGTTCACTCATGACTCACGAACTGTCACACACTCCCCGATATTCGGCTTTAGCGTGGGATTTTCAGTCACACTTTGTTCCCCAGTGGAGGACCCGTCGTAATCACAGACTTATCACGACAGATCAAGATCCACGCACGTAGCATCAAATTCTGAGCATCAAAAGTATCAGTGCGTCAACGAATATATCAGTTTGGCGCTATGGCAAGTCTGGAGAGGGACATCTTGCTGCAGAACTTCCAACGCCTAAACTCGAGGATTTTGCTCACGAATTCTTTCAAGGTTAGGAAATGCTAGCGCTCTCACTTCTGGGCCTTTTTTGTTTGTCGTACGAGTTTGGGTTTGTTAGCGTATGGCTGGTGTCAGAGTTCGCGCTCCGTCGCATTGCGTCGACTGTTCATGATTCTACTTGTTTTATATTCAGTGTTCCCAATGTTCAAATGGGCCTTGCGACCTTTGCGATTTGCGCAAATCGCGCAAATTACGCGACGGATAGCGGACTCTGACACCAGCCTAAGGGTACCTTTTGCCATGAGTGAAAAAGTCGATGGCGCTATTGCAGAATGAGGAGAAGGGGTAGAGAGAGAATCCTGTATTGCTAACGAAAGAAAACATGTCAACGTGTAATGTTTGTCAAAACAGCAGTTGACAAAATAAGACACGTCAAATTCACAGATTAGCTTTCCTCGTTATTGCCAGAGGCTTCATTTTTGGACTTTTAGTCGAATCTTTTTTTTTCTGAATAGCCTAAATGCCTTTTTCCGTTGCTGAAGCTTTTTGAAGCTTCTGCTGATATTATAAGTTTTGTTATGCTTTTTTTCTTTGACAGTAGCAGTAACAATCGCGCCACGTAACCAGCCCATCCGCGTGAAAGATGTCAGACTTCGTGATTGCAGTCGCGGTCACACTCTGAGACCGTTTTGCTGTTCGACAGGTAAACCACCTGTAGGTGCCGACCGACACACAATTCGATGCGAAGGATACACCCCTATGTCCCCGATCCTCCATAACCTTCTCGCGGCACTATTGGTGTGCTATTGGCGTGCTGTTGGAGCGGTGCGCTCCCCACCCCCACCCCCTTCCACCCCTATCGCTGTATGATCCCTAACCGCCAAGCAGGTAGATCGTTAGCGTTGAAGATCAGCACCTATGAGAGTATCAACGGGCAAGGAAGGGGCCC